AACTCGGTGGGAAAACAAGCCTTCCCTTTCAACCATCTTCTGCGTACCAGGCACGGATTCCCACCTCCACGATACCACCTGTATAGATTTAACACAATCCATCCCCTTGTCCTCACCACCAAAACAAGAGTCATACCCTTGAAAACCATACAATATGTACAAGTGAAATTTTGTAGAACGCAGAATACCTGGAGATTCCTTTGAGTTGTTGCCATTTTTTAGCACTCTCTCGCCTTGGCACCATACCATCTGAAAAAAGGAGCGACAATCCTTTGAAGACGCTTGAGAACTACGAAAAAACCTCTCTGCTGTGCTCTAGCAAAAGTCCTTAAGTGGGCCAATTTCGAGATTAAGTCCTACGAGTGCTTTTGATAACCTTTGGGAAGATCGCATCTTTTAGTATACTGGCCCTCGCATTTTACTCCTTTTCTCTACATCATTTCTACCTGAGGAATGTTATCGCTTGCGAAAATTTGAAATTCGCTTTCCTGAAAAATTTTCCTCATTATGCTGAGAAAAACTATCAACAGATCATTCTCGTTATACTACGTTGCCAGAAAGACGGCTGGGCGGGGATAATGAGTAGAAAGGAATATCCGAAACTTCAAAACCTGGTTTCGACAAAATGAGTGAATAGAAAATTATCGCTTCAATTCCTAACAATTTCTAGATCGTACTGCAGGTGCAGCTTCGGAACACAATGAGCAAGGCTACAGTATGCTGTCGACAACTGCTAGTCCGGATCCGTCGAAACGGATCAGTATTGGCAATCATCACTACGAAAACTCACATATGTTGTGAATTTAGAGCTGTTAGCGATAAGGCCTATTTATTGACCAGTTTTTTTTTTCACTAGTAGCGCAATTTCAAACAACTACTCACTCACGTGACAATTTTAAACAGTGAATTTTTATAACTTGAGTAGTTTACGATTGGAATCATGTCTCTTATAAGGTCTACTTCCGGTTATGAAGGGATCTGATGTTTTTGCGACATGTGGGTCCGGTCAGGAAAAACTGACTGAGTTGCATTAGCTAGTGAATCCCATTTAGATACGGCAGAGTCATTAACAGTCATTGGTGTGCTGATTTTCTTCTTTATTCGGATTTCCACCCCGTGAACACGTGGGTGCGACGCGTGCCTTTGCCGCGCGCTTTAAAACCATACCGAATGTTTTGGCACACACGTGTTGCGAGGTGCTGCACGTGAAATTCGAAAAGGAGGAAACGCCGTACATGTGCATCAGATTGTCGTTAAAATCGCCGCAGTTCCACCTGACGGACATCTCACATAGTTGTATCAAGCTGATGCGCCTGGCAACGACAATACTACATCTTCGTTGGGCTGTACGCAGCGAGGCACAGCAAATCGATCCGTCAGCGTAGCCGCACCGCGACCGCGCGCTTGCTATCAGTGCAACTGAAACTGCGAGTAGGCTGTCTTGATGCAATTCGTACATATATATAGTTGTGCATAAGATTTCTGTGAATGTTCTCCCTTTGTTGGCCATGACGACTGATTATATCTTCACACTTCACAAAACGAATCTCAGAAATTTCTCAATACATATGCAATACTTTGTGTGAAAAGTAGTTCCTTTAATCATGACGTCATATTTTCATTACATTTTTTCTTTGTTATACATTTACAACCTGTTGATGAGCAATGGCCATGTCAGTATAGGTAACGTAGTTCGTACAGCAGATCACATATGGTGATATTCAGTGTATAGTACAAAGATGTACAATACATAATAAATGAATCATAAAAAACTCCTACCCTCATGAAATATTATGGAATTTTCTTGTTTGAACGTAAAGGTCAGCTCATGTTTTTAATCTATGTAGAATTACGTCAATGAAGTACAATAGTATGAATGTACTTGTGGTCCAAGTGTTCTATGTATCTAATAAAGAATCATAATAAAAAATCGTTTATGCATGAGTATTATTGCGCCACGCATCCTTCTTCCATTCGGGATCAAAGTATGATTTGAAATTACTAATGTCAAAGAATAATTTCAGTGATAAGCCGCGGTCATTCGACCGGTCCTCCAGACTTGGTTGTTGCCCTATTTGGTGTAAGGGCTCTGGCTGAAGCTCAGACTCAGGCTTGCTCAACCTAGGCGAAGCTAGGTGCTGGTCAAGAAACAACCTAATACGACCTCCGCCCTTCCCTTTAGCGGGGATCCCTCCGTTTCCAGGTTTCATTGCACCTAACTCTACTAGCGACTGCGATCGCGAAGTTTGACACATACCTCATCTTTCATATTAGGTTCCGGGATCGAATTGCTGTGTTATTTTGCATGGAAGTGATAGTGGAGATGTGTAACACCAGATGGGAAAAACCTTCCCAAGGCCAAGAATAAAACCCCATCTCCAGTTCCAGCGAAATGAAGCCTTATCGATCTGCAGACGGGATTCATGGTGATGGGCGGAGCCCACAGTAATCCTTGGGCCTTAGCGCCTCACTGGGTTAAGTAGTGGCGCCAAGTTGGTACATGCTCCGAGCTTGCGTGTCACTCCATATTTCTCCGCATAACCTTCACTTTTTTCCGGAATCCCGGGCTTGGCCTTTACATCATTACTGCATTGCTTTAGATACGTGATTCACCTCCTACGATTCCTTTCCATATCATAAAAAATGAAAAAAAATTACATGTAGAGCAAATCGCTGAATAGTTGGGAATCCTTGCCAAATATTTTTAACTATATGCTCCGTTGGAGAAAAATATTCTTTCAACAGAGGAAAAACTCAGTGACAGCTTCAAAATTTATTGAATCAAAAGCAAATCAGATGAAATAGAAAAAGGAGATGGAGATGAACCAAAAGTCTTTGAAAGAAAAAGTAAAGACCCACAGTGCGCTTTGATATGTTGCAATTGAAAGCTGCCAGTCGCCTACGATAATGAGTAACAAACAAACAATTAGAGCTCTAAAACACACTGAGACCATTAAAAGGCCATTAGAAAATTCAGTTGTTATTTTTATCCTGAGAGTGATGCATAACTGTTCACGACAAAGTGGATAACTAAAAATATAGCTCACTTATCCTTCATCCATTACCGACCATCCATCCCCTCAGAATTAACCGTCGCACTTACATTGCCACCCCCCTCCTTAGGAGGGGGGGGGGGCGCTATTCGAATCCCCATCAAAATCACCAGTCTTAGGATGCTCCCCCAGTACGACACTCCTCTTCCCTGCCCCGATCACCACTCTTACCATCATGGCTGTTTCAATATTATTTGATTCTGAGACCAGTCGATACCTCCAACTCCGCCCACTTCCTCCTCTCTTCCTCTAAAACGACCGTCCTACCAATCAAATTTTCACCCTACTTTCGCTCAAATCGTCAAAAACCAGTCGAATGCAGCTCCCGCTCACACATTTCTCCGAGTTAGTTAACTATACGCAACCCCAAAATGAACCCCCTGTTTCCAAAATCACTAATGCGACCCCCTCATTCGAATAGTGCGAACTGATGGTTGATCTTGCCCCCCCCCCCATCCACTGAGATGTGCGCATGTTATGCATCACTCCCCTGACCTTCAAATGGTTAACTTCTTCTTCATAGCAAGGAGAACATGAGATTCACATTAAAGCTAAAGGCTTTCGAATGTTAAGGTTAGATGGATTACGACGTATTTGCAATTGAACAACAGATCCATCTCACAAACAGGCGAGTAGCGAGAAGCTCGAAAACACCGTTACAAAAAAGTGACAATTAAAAACAAAGAACAAGAACAAGAAAAAGCAAGTTCCAAGTTCACACCACAAAGACTCTCCTCTTTGATAAACACAAAAATATTTCCTCAATTTCCAGGTAATGATGCCCATGTAGACAGATCTTAAGAAAATAAGGACAAACATTCACTGGATCATGCTCTGTATTTAACTGTTGATCATCGAGCAGCACTCGCTGCAGCACAGCGAGTGCTCTGCACAATCATGTCTTACACGAGCTGGCATGCACTGATCTCCGTGCTGTCTCACCTGAACAGCGCCTCATGACTTCTGTGACCACATACACTGGAACTATTGTCACAAGATGATCGGCTCATCAGCCTGGAGTCTCCCCTTTTTTCGAAAAAGCTTTGTTCAGAGCACTATCTTCCCTCTTAGGCATTTGGAACTAAGTGAGCAGCCGTTCACTTACTCGAACTTATCGAGGAAGCGCACAAGATTATATTGTTCCCCTCGGGCGCTCGCATACCGTAACCCGCGGTGGCGCCGGAGCGCAGTTGCAAGCCTCCAGCGCGCAACACAACGCAACGAGAACTGGGAGGCGAGCGCGCGCGGAATGATAACATGAAATGTGCGAGACAAAATTGCGTGGTGGTAGGGTGCACCAAGTTTCCGTGGGAAAATCTCCTGATGTCGTCGGTGTAGAAAGCCCCTATGTAACTTTTTTGATAGAATAGAATGTGCTCTTCAATATGCAATTGAGCTCATTCGGTTTGGTTTTGGCAAAGTGTAATTAATTCTGTTTTGAATGTGAATGAAAGTGACTCTTTTTTTGGCCCCCCTGTATATTTCAAAAGAATTCTTCAATACCATGTCATGTTCATGGCGATTTCCCGACGCATTTGAGAAAGTATGCGACTTAATAAGGCGCGTTTAGTGCACCCAACAACAGAGTGACGGATTACTGTGGACCATCCTACGTTCTTGAAGATATCGACTCGCGTCATTTTACCCTATTATGAGTTTTAAGATAAGCTGATTTTAAAAATGTTAACTATGTACATTACGATGGCAATTACCCTAGGTGTTATCCAGTGAGGCGGGGGTCGAGGGGGTGGATGGTCAACCGTGCGTTGCGCAGATTCCAAAATTTTTACATTCCCCTCTCTTTCGGAGGGTATCTCCAGGAAAGTAGAACAGGTAGAAGTGGACAGTTGTTGTATAAAAATAAATAAACTATTACCGCCGGAGGAGGAGAAACCCAACCGCGCGAACGACGACTCTTTAACCATTCCTTCTTCCATGGTTTTTGTTTATACTGAAAAGAATCGGTCAAGTGTAAACAGATAAAATGTGAAATGACTAACACCATTTGAAACCTGTGATTTATACGAACTGAAATAAAAATTAAAAACTAGAGTTGTGGAAAAACTAGCTTCGAGTTTGAACTGTGTCTTCAGCTTCTCTCTGTACACCAGACTCATGTACCTCACATGTGACAGAGCCTGCAATACCGGAATCAACTTAGGCAGCTTAAATAACAAAAAGGCTCCTTCAGATACAAACCTCAAGCACATGAGTTTTGAATTCGCTGGGATAAGCATAACGACGATAGATGACCGATTCTCTGCATGGAGTTAGAGCTGTTATCACTTGAGCACGCTAAAGTATGCTTATAATAGAAGAAATTTTCTACTGTGCCATGGAACTTGGAAAAAATCGAAATCGCCATAAGTACCCATGGTTTGGTCAACATCAATTTGTCAAGCAGTTCGTGTGCAATGATTCCCCATGCCGCTACTCCGTCCTGAAAATAGCTTAAAAGTTGTCACTATCAAAGCCAGAAGGTGCCCGGGAAGGGATTATTCAGGGGTTTTGTATGAGCAACCCTTCAACAGGAACCTGAACTGATTACAGGGCCAACAAAACGGTGGGCCTGCTCGATCCCGCACCACAACAGGGACGTAAACAAGTAAGTGAAAAATGAATAGGTCAAAAGTGAAAGATGTATCACCGATGATCTGCCACTTGTTTTACATACCATGGTAAGACGTAAGCAAACCAGCCCTTTTGGCGCTTCGGCTGGGACCGTATGCTGAATGTTGGGGAGGGGAT